ACTCTACGAGGAGGCAGGGCTGACAAGCTGAAGAAGTGGTCATCAACGTCGCCCATCCAACTGACGAAACGGTTACCCAGCAACATATAAGGACGTATGTACAGGGGACATGCTATTTCATGAAATATTGACTGAACTTCTGAAATGTATTTTCAGCTGCACGAGAATACTCTTGGAGATTGGTACTATTCCCTGTCATATTGCATGATGCTAAGACATTACAGTCATGCAAGGAGATTAGCCGTCCTCATACCAGCGTAACTCACGCACTACGATCATTCTGACATGAGTAGTATTCTTGTGTGTTTTAGTAGTTTGTGTGGATGGACGTCTACTGTGTCCAAATAGAGCGCACTACATTCATTCATCAGGAAATGGTGATTCGCCCTAATGGGGTACTGAGGAAAGGGTATGGGCCATTTTCAATAAATTCTACCCACCTGAGCAATTTCAAGACAATGGCAAGAGAATTTACACAGGCCACCACCTGCAGGCTGCCGATCAGACTGCTATAGGAACGCAGTCTTACGGCCACCGATAGGTCCACCTATTGCAACCGTCATCGATAGGTGCAAATACCCTCAAAAGACCAAGTAGAATTCGATATGGTAGTCTGCGGAAATAAGTGGGCACACAGGCTATGTCTCAAAATACGTTTCAGTGGCTAAAAAAGTTTAAAAACCACGATTTCGCCTTACATCGGCTACAAAAGGCGATTTTTCATGAGGCTCATTAATTTAGCGTTACATCTTATCCGCCTTACGAGAGGCAGCGCACTGACCACGGTGCTTTTCACAGACAATCTAAATTCTCTGAGGAGGCGCGGCCGACGAGGTGTGTAGGGGTAATCGACATAGCCTACCCACCTGACGAAAGGGTTGCCCAGCATCCGACACACACACACAGGCATCCACGCGAGTCGCACCGACCAGTGTCTGTGACCTGTCCATGTATGTTCGTGGGCTGAGCACCACGACGGATGTGCAGTGTAGCCTGTCAGTATGGTAAATAATTACAAAATTCTATACTATTAACTGCCTGTTGACGGTATATGAATATTACGCGGTTATTCCGCAATAGCTGATGGATGTAAGCTCCAATATTCATACCAAATTTCGGACCGTGCGTGAAAAGATATATTCCGAAGGATTTACTTCAAGTTCGATTATTGATTTCCTCTGAAATCAAACAAGGCAGGTCATTAGCATCGCCTACCCAACTGAAGGAACGGTTGCCCAGCATCCGACAAACGCAGGCATCCACGCGAGTTACACCGACCACTGTCTGTGACCTGTTCATGTATGGTCGTGGGCTGCGCACCACGACGGATGAGCAGTGGAGCAATGATCTGTTTCCAGCCGACTGGCCATCGCCACACACAAGAGAATGGTCATTAGCTAACCGGAAGTATTGGATGATTACAAGTGCTCCAGAATCAGAGTAGATGGAACTCGCCTGCCATCTCTGGATAAATTCATCTACCTGGGCAGTACAACCTACAACTGACAGGTCGGATCTCCAAGGCCGGACGTGTATATGGCTAGCGGGGGCACTCACTTCGGGATCGTGGCGGTCTTCGACTGGACAGTCGCCACCCTGACGATGCATCCGTATGTGGCTGAGCCATGGACGGTGTACGGAAAGTAAAGAAACTTTACCCCAGTTGTCTGTACGAAATACTAAAGCTGAGGTGATAGGACAGCACCCCAGAAATAAGAAGTCCTCAAAGGTTGCGCTTCATCATGCTGTGTGGCAGCGGCCACGTGGAAGGGATGGATGAAGAGCATCTAGGCAAAGGACTATTCAATGAGGACCTCGGTACGGGTGCTTGTATACAGTGTGGCTATGAGCGTCGCTACAACAACACCCTGGGGATTTCCCTTTTGTTATAGGCAAAGTAATCCTCTAAACTAAAAACACCTCAAATGGAATCGGCAGATGCGGAGCACTTGTGTGAAAACTGGAACCGCAATCCATGCAGTCCTTCGCACAGAACGGACCAGGGCGAAGAGCAGTGCGTACAAGTCGGACAATATCACTGACCAATGCAGCAAACGTCCAACGTCTACCAACATGTCCGCAATCATCCTCGGATCAACGGTCAAGTCGGCTCATCCAAATCACTGGCCCGCACACAGACCGTCCCTATCACTAGCACCGTCGCGAAAGTCAGTCCAGCCACTTACTCTCCGTCCGCTCCATCATCATAAACTGTAGCAGCGGCATTGTGGGTGGAGGGGGGGGGGTTCCCACCTGTCCCATCTTAATAGTACACATCGGCCTTGTCATGCACAGCGACTGGCGAATCAGTGTCGCCCCTGTCTCACCTGCCTGACCATCGACCACATGCGCCGCCGTGAACATTTTCAGCAAAAAACCGCAGTCCAGACACATCATCACCATCGCCTCTCCTAGCCTACCCACACAGACCGAGTCAAAACGCGCACGCACACACCATTCTCCCAATGTAACGTCATGCCTTTCATCTGCAGCAGATATGTGGTCAAATATATCGTCGCTAATTTCGCGAGCGGACGTCACATGACAGGAAGAGCATGTCCATTCGTGGACTCTGGTGCAATGAGGGGGTACCGACTGACGTCTGGTGTGCGCGTACCATTCAGCCCTGTCAGTCACTATTCTCCCGAAAGCAATCCCTACAGGCCAGAATATGTCAAGCAGTAAATGAAGGGATTCAGTAACATGTCATAGTAGACAGCTTGCCGGACAAGACATCCGTACAGACTTAAAATCAGGCATAACACACGTCTCCACGATACGCCAATGCTACAGACCGTTCCAGGAAGAAGTCGTAGGAAAGCTACAAACCAAAATGACTGATATCAGTGAGCATTGGTGGGTTTCCAGGAAAGACACCAGACGACTCAAGGACAAGAACGCTTCATTCACTTTAACGGATCACAGAATATCTCGATTCTAAGGCGTACAGCTGGTACTTAGGTGTGAACTGTAGTCTTCGAAGAAACAGCGGGCGCTGCAAAAATTCCTCCACCACTAAAGCAGCCAATCGGTTGCAAGCGAGTGAATTTTTGCTGGATCGATACACATGGTTGCATTAGGATGTGAGACAGAAACAGCATATAGTTCTGTGGGTTATTTTGGTCCTCTTTGGGGAGTGGCGGGGTGTTCTCATAGCTTCATCAGCAAATATCTAATGCGATGACAGGCCTTCGGTGTCTGCCTGTGGAGTCGTGGAATGTTTGCGGCAGAGCCCATTCAATTTTGAGGTTTAAGACGGAGCCCGAGCAATTACACGGTGGTAACCGATGCAGTGCACAGCTTAACCCCCTCTGAGGTCGTACCTGCAATTGTTTACCATGTCACTTATCCTGACTGTCTGTAGCATGACGGGCAGGTGACTCTCGAAAATCGGGCATCCACAGGTTCGCTCAGTAACACTGAGTGATTTGCGATCCAAAATCGGTAAGCGCGGCTGCAAGAGCATTTACTAATCCGCCTGTGACAGATCCTGAATGCGTTGGGGCGCATCGAGGGCGAGGCGGCCCTGCACACCTCGTAAAACATGCCATCTGTACGAGAGAGAGAGTCCAAGCCCATCTGGCAGCCCTTGCTCCGCATTCCACTCGGTTACTGCGTCGAAGCCGAAAAATTGCCCGACGAAATGTTACAAGCTAAAATCCTCCAACCCCCCCCCCTCCCCTTGGGCATCCCAAAAATGACGGATCCCTACGCTTATGCATCCACTATCGCCGTCTTTACGCGGTTACGCTGCGTTACACATTCCCTCTCCTCCGACTAGATGATACCCTCGACGCACTCGGCAACGAGGCCTGGTTTTCAACCCCAGATCTCAAGTCGGGATATTGACAGGTCGAGATACATCCCAACGACCGTCATAAACCTGCCTTTACGGCACCTCAAGGGTTACTCGAATTCAAAACACGACCCTTTGGGTTTTCTAAGTTCCGCAAATATTCCCATGGTACACTTGAAAAGTCAAGTTGGCAAACACGTGTTTTCGGTAACGTCAGGCCAATACAGTTACATGAAGGAATGAAAATGTACAAAATTAACAGTGTTTATAGGTGTCTCAAGGGCAATTAAGTCATTAACACTCTTCTTCCCCACGCCGCCCGCATGACGAGGTCGGCGGGTTTTGGGCCTTAGAGCTGGGGAAGGGAGGTAAGAGAGTCTTTGAGTGATGTTCTTGGATTGAGTACGTGAAGTACGCATCTCTGTAATTAGGGGTTTGAGGCGGTATGTCGTGATCACGTGAGGTTGGCGTTGGCCACGGCAGAGTGTGTTTGTGTCAGGGTTTTCTGACAGCATAACACCGGATTCGCTAGCCATATAGCTACTGCCTAGGCCGTTGCTAGTATCCGTTGACGTAGGCCTTTAGATAAGCTTGTTGGTGTCCGATAGAAAACCTGAAATGCTTCCTTGGCATCGACTCGGTGATCCATATCGATTAAATGTACAAGAATAGAACTCGAAACCGATAGGTTTTGGGCTTTGTAACTCTGCCAGTACCTTCCAACGCCTCATGTATCGCTTCCTACGGCATTTCATCCCGCATCAGTGCCTCGTTTACCTGGGATGACATCATTGTTTTTGGCCGTACGATGCAAGAGCATAAGGCCAACTTGCGAGAGGTCTTGGGAGGCTCTCCGCGATGCCGGGCTTACCTTCAACCCCAATCAAATGCCTCTTTTTGCGACCCGGAGTGCAATTCCTAGGCCAGATCATTGCCCCGGTGCGAATATTCGCCCTATCCGACAGGGCTGAATGTGTTCGCATTTGGCAGAAGCACGCGGACTAGATCAGAATGAGGCCCGTCGGGGTCCTATCGAAGCTGAGATAAACGATGCACAAGGAGGAAAGTCTGGGATTCGAAACCACGCCCTTTTCGCAGCGATGCCTTAAACCGCTCGGCTGGCAACCATGACGAATTCCATACGCAGGAGGTGTTTTGGTAGGTCAAGTTGCAGGTTGATGTCGCACCAGTCACCTGAGCCCAATCAGGGATCGTTGCACGTGGCGTGATGGCCGATATTCGCATCGGTAATTGCCACAATTTCATCACGTGCGTTGGATGTTTGTGTGATGATTGCTCGACCATCTGACGCGCTGACCCAGGTGTTGGGACGAGTGTTCACCTGTGCGCTCCCCGCGTGGCCAATTACTCCGCCTAGGCGAAGTCTCAGCACCGAGTATGGAATGGGAATATCATTGCACTTGTTAATGGACTGGGGGCCAGTAAACCATGATTCAAGCAGCTCCCGGCTCACGCGGTTGTCACCTCTTGCGAGAATTTCGGCCTCCTCAAATTTGAATTTGTGGCCGGAACCCGTCGAATGAGTCGCAACTTGAGAGCTGGCGTCATTTCTCCGCATCTCTGCAGCGTGCTCGGCCATTCGCGTTTGGATTTGTCTTCCGGTTTCTCCGACGTAGTGGCTTTGTCCGCAACTGCACCAGATCCGATAAACGACTCCAGACGTTTCTTGCCGTGGCAGTGGGTCTTTCGATTTCATGATCAGACGCCTGATGGTTGCCTCCGACCTGTGTGCAACTCCAACCCCAAGTGGTGCGAGAAGGCGGCCAACAGCTTCCGAAACGTTCTTGACATATGGAAGCGCTCGCCAAACTTTGATGTCCGCGCGGTTAGGCCTTTCATCCATTTTGCGTATGCACCGGTTGACAAAGTTGCGCGGGTAGCCATTGGCTTTGACGACCCGTTCAGCAATCTTGTCTTCCGGCTCACTGCAGTGCGTTTCGGCACGCCGATAGAACGTCCTTACACAACTGCGTTTGTGACTGATTGGGTAGTTGATGTTGAAGTTCAGTACTTGCATCGTATTTGTCGCTTTCCTGAACACTTTGGTCTTTAGTCCACTACAATCCTTGCGGCATAGGAGGACATCCAGGAAGGCCAGCTGGTTGTTCTCTTCCTCCTCCGTCGTAAATTGTATGTCCGGGAAGACCGCATTCAGACGTTCTTTGAATGTCAGCAGTTGCTCCCGATCCCGACGCGAATATCGGTCATCACGCCACGTGCAACGATCCCTGATGAAAGTTAGGGAGCCGTGAATATTCATGGGTATGCGGTAGCATTGCTACTGCATCCTATAAATACTGCAGCCGCATGTACATGGACCACCCTTATCCGCTTATGTCTCTGATGATGGATTCGAGCAGGAATCCGAAACGTCAGGCTAATAAAGCTCTAGTCCCGGTGATCGTGTCTTCTTCTTCTTCTTCTTCTTCTTCTTCAAGACTGCTTCCTGGGACTCGTCTCTTCGCCTCTGTTAGCCCAATGTGCGTTTGTTTCGAGTGGTGGACTGAGAGTCAGGCTGAAATGGCTTCTCTTGGAAAGCACACGCTTGTTGTGCATTCATATGCGTGAAAACTAATCACCTTGTCCTTTCTATTTGCCACCCCGTCACTTATTCTGGAAGCTTTGTCTACAACGATCAAATAAAACGCAAAAGGACTGTGCATCTTGGTATTTATTTTAATTGCGGTGTCCAGAATTACTAAGGATCTGGGCATATCATACTCCAAGAGTCTAAATCTCTCGGAGCACTGTGCCTTGATAGTCTCCAAAGCACGCAGAACGACCGGGTTTATCGTCCGAAACTTTAAAACTAGGGATATCAGAATGCGCCTTTACAACATGTACCTTAGACCTTGTCTGGAATACTGTTCATTTAGCCTCATGCGTGCTACTGAGCGGAAGAACATAGAATCCGTTCAACAATTTTTTACCAAGACAATTTTAACCCCAGAACACCGACATTTGTCTTACCAAGAACGTTGCCGGCTTACGGGCCTTGATCCTTTATGATTCTGTAGATCACAAAAGGGACTATTTTTGCTGTTTAAACTCTTATATAATCACACATTTAACCCACTCACTTCTTTAAGACATCATATCCACCCACGACGTAACAGTCACCGTGAGGTCTTTTTATTTCTGCCTCTGGCACGTACTGTTAAATATCGCTGTTTCTATTCTGTAAATGCAATTGCTATTTGGAATGAACTACCCATGAGTGTGAAAACTCTGCAAAATTATCCTTTATTTAAGAGAACTATTACTTGATTTTTGCATTCAGAAAATCTCCCACAAATTTTGGGTGCTGAATCAACTGATCGACTCTACCGTAGCGATGGCGTTTGTGGTCCCTGACCACTATGGCCGGTTTCACCAGCTGTTCCTCAACGCCTCTACTATGACTATCCCCAACTTCATGAAAGGAATTGACGTCCGATAATCTCCGATACCGTGCAACCCCCTCCCCCCTTTGTTGACGTTCGAAAATCTACCGCCAGCAGGGTTTTTTTCTCCTGAACCCTCCAAACCATAAAAACCACCATCAACTATATTTTTATTTTTCAGGAGTTTTTTTTCACTGCTGGTCGGATTTGTGTTTAATCGCTTCCCTTGGCAATGCCTGTAAACTGACATTTAATAAATTAAATTAAATTAAATACTCGGTTTGGGTGCTATTACAGTGCGTGACCGATCTCATGAAATGTGAGCCAAAATTCTGGAATGCGTTTTCGATTAGGAAGGATTACATAAGTGGGGTTGTTATACTGATTATCTTGCAGCATAACCATATAAAATTTCGGACTCGCCAGGATGTCGGCTTTGAATGCACTTCTCTTTGACCTCCTGCAGAAACCACACTCGGTAAAAAACGACAACTTTAGCAGCATGCATTTTTCCTATTGATTTTCGATGGTCTTATAAATTCAAATATATTTTATAGAAAACATGCTTTCTTTTGCTCATTTGCTAGGAAATTAAGTTGTCTTCATATTTTATGCCCTAAGAAAGTGTATATTTAAGTTTTAAAAAGTTTCTAATTATGAGATTTTTAAGACCGTGCGATGTCCATGCATGCAAGACCGCACATGTCCGTTTACTAATGCTCCTCATCAAATGTACAACACAGTCCGGATCTATTGCAAAATTTCACGAACTATATGTGGTATCTTCTTAAAGGCATAGGGAAATATACGATTTTCCTCACACGGATAGCATGCACCTTGTAGACTACAATTGCTAAACGCTGATTCAATGGCAGATCAGGCTGAAAATTATTCGTCTCTTCTCGATTGTGTTTGCATGAAAGATCGAAATTCCGTGGAGGATCTGTCAATCTGAAAATACACGGTGCGGGAAATTGTGGAAACGTGACTGCCTTCAACAGGTTCACAATGACAGTGGCGGTAATTGCTATAGCTGTGAAATCAAATAGTAAAATTTTTCACAAGATACTTAGTATTTTCCATAGTGATAGACGTGGGTGATTGAACATCACGTAATCGAACGGCGCATTCTGAATGTAAAGTTAATGAGGACACTGTAAAATGTGTGTTAGTTCGCAAAATCAAAACTCTGCGGGAATCGTTTGGTCCAGAAATACACGAAGCGAGGTAAGTGAGGAGATGCCGACCTATCGTGAAATTCACGACAGTACGGAGTGTAGCATTTAAACGCAAACTAACGGCGTGAGAATTAGGAGAAGCAAATTCTATTCATCGAAATGAAACGCACTGTGTTATTACAGGTTGACGAGGACTGACGACAACCATTTACGGAGTGACTATTCTCTATTTTCCTCAAATGCCTCGATTAGTTAACGCCTCAATGCACAGCACCTCCATCACAGCACCAACGCGGTCAGACTCAAGGACGCTTAATCACTAACAATCAGGGTGAAAACAGCATCCTCTTTGTCGGTGTAGGCACATCTGACTATATAAAGCACAGCTGAATACCACGGAGGTTGTCCTACTTTCTGTCTCAGTTGAAGCTACTTCAGCATGGATGCCTTCTTTGGAACATGGAAAATGAAAGACAGCGATGACGTGAGTGCCATAGCTGAAAGCCTGGGGGCCAAAATATCTAAAGAGCAATTGGCCCAAATGTCGAAGTCGTCCATGACCTTCTCACGTGCCGACGACGGTTACTGCATGCATATAGATGTCGGTACAAAAACCCACGATACGAAATTCAAGCTGGGCGAGGAGTTTGAGCACACTACATTGGATGGACGGCACGTTAAGGCAAGATCCTCCCCTCTGTTACTTCCTTTTCAATGCTTGTGTTACTGAAATATCTCTAAGTTAAGTCAGTGCTGTTTAACCCAAAAGAGCTCAAAGCCAGCTGCGGCTACTTATTTTAATCAGAGGAGACAGCAATGCAATTCTCACTGTCCCCAGTTACGTGATTCCGTTTTGAAAATTCAAAGATGGTTGACAACAAACGGGCAAATTGTTTGATACTGACTGTAATGCTCATTTTCCGGAACACATTAAATGAAATGCTGTGCATAACTATATGTATACGTAGTATGTCTGCTTTCGAAAAGTTAGGAAATTCAAATCGTGGTTTCAGTGACTGCTCCATCATTCTCGCTTGTTTCGTTAAATTCCGGGCAAATGACTGCGATGATGGATGACAGAAAATATAGACAGAGAGTAGTTTTAAAAACAAAGCACTTATGCTCATATACTTTTCAGATGCTCATAAAACTGGAAGGCAAAAAGTTGACAATTGATCAGAAAGGAGACAAAGACATGCTCATCGAGAACGTTGTGGATGGTAATAATTTAACCATGGTAAGTATCAGTCTGTCCGTACGCCCCTTCTTTAATGTAGCAGATGATAGGGGCTTTCGCATGTAACGAGCGTGAAGAGCAAGAATGCGTGAATTCCCCCTACCATAAGCGGCTGGCCAGATTTCACGAACGGCACGCTACCAGAACAAAACCCTGACAAACAACTGCAAGAGACAATGAAACCTGCCTGATTCATAAATTATTGTGTCTTAAAAAGTTGCTGGCTGCCGTAGTGGACAGCATATATGTCGTTGATGGGATTTCACTTATTTCGTGGGGCCTTCGAAGAACACTGGTGGAGGACTCGAAGGTTCAAAAATCAGAAGGCAAAAATGACAGTTATATGGACGTATTTTACTGAGATGATGGAAATGCACAATGAAGAAGCTTGCGACTGCCTCAGGTACAAATCGGGGGATTATGGTGTGTGCGGCTGCGAAATAAGATCCTACCGCTGAGGAAAGAGCGAGGGGGATTGAGTGAAACTGGGATTTTCATTTGGTCAGAGTGTTTTCAGTCATTTCCCTTGCCGAAATTTCGCCCAGCAGCGAACTCATTCTCAAATCTCCGTTTTTTTCCATTTTGCAGACAATGAAAGTGGGTGACGTCTCTTGTGTTCGACACTACATCAAGGCTTGAATGTAAAAAGATTAATAAATGGAAATTTATTTTATCACAGCATTTTCTTCTGCTCTGTGGATAAAACTTGCATGGGGTTCGCATCCGTCGTTTACCATTTGAAAAGTCAATTTTGCAAACACGTGTTTTCGGTACTTCATCGTGAGGCCAAAACAATTACACAGAAGTAGAAAATATGCGAAGTTCACGGGTGCTTCATACACAAGGAACTCAGTACTTATAGGATGCAGTCGACATGCTACCAAATACCCATCAATATTTACGGCTCCTGTCCCCCCCGCTCACCTTTCATCTGGAACGTTGCACTTGGTGTAATGATGGTTTGACGGCCGACATTCGCGTCGTTAATTGCTGCAATTTCATCACGTGTGTGTGATGATTGCTCGACCATCTGACCCACCAATCCTGGCGTTGGGAACAGTGTTTACCTATGCGCTCGCCGCGTGGCTGACAACTCCGCCTAGGCGAAGCCTCATCACCGAATATGGAAAGGGAAGGTCGTCGCACATTTAAGGGACTGGGGTCTGTGAACCATAACTCAAGTAGCTCGCGGTTAACGCGGTTGTCACCTCTAGCGGGAATTTCGACCTTTTTGAATTTGAATGTGTGTTGGGAAGTCCAATTTCTAGATAGATGTGGCAATACATGGGGAATGCAATGAGGTCATACATTTCCGCAACCCTTAGTTAAATTGTAAACAATCACTGATCCACTGATGTTCCATGCTGTGTAGACGTAATCGCGCCTGACGAGAATTACTTGCAAACGAAACCTGCTTATCTATACTAATTCCTTCCTTCCAACTCCCATCACGATGCCCATTCATGTGAGTGATCGTTCATATCTACCGCCAATGCTCCTATCCCGTTTGTTCGCACCAGACCGTCGTTTGCCTAATAGACTGTCAGTTTCGAAAACGTGCAAAGAACAAGGCGTCAGGGAATCCCATTTGTGCCATTAAATTCTGCATGCTGTCTTACCTCGAGAGAGAGAGAGAGAGAAGGACAGCCGCAGGTCACATTTAAAATAGAATTTCCATTGAAGTCATTTTCCAAAGAGATATCCGTCGATAGCAGTACTCGTACGTCATTTCCAACATGGTGAAAATTCCAGCTTAAGATCATGCATTTTGCCGGCCCCATTAAAGTGGCGCGCATGTTTTCCTAGATATTTTTACTGTTCTCATGATATAGACCATTTTTAATAGGAAATATATCTTCTATACAGGACAGGAGTCTTATTCTATATCGATGCATGTGCAATGAAACATTTCCGGTTCTTACAAAATCTTCGCGGGTAAGTATCGTTACTCTGCCCACGCCTGTGGACAGGCATTTTGTGAAACACGGTAAAATGACACGGGAAATAATCACTTCGGAATTTTTAATGAATATAAGCGTTGGATTAAGAAATAATGATCTGAACAAAGAAGCATGTAGGGACATCATCAACACTGACAGAGGCCTTTACGTAAACAAATAACTTCAATTTCTAGGAAACTCATATTGCACACGTGCTTTTGATGCATATATTCCGCAATAAAATACTGAGGATATTAATGTCTTGATGAATGGGGACGTAAAAGAAAGGTCACTGAAATCTATCTCACTATGGTGCGTATTTTCCGCAGATCGTTTCCAATACACTCAGCCAAATGAAACCAGGTCACACTGTTGGAATTGACTTGGCACTACGCTACCTGCCAATTAGTTTTCGACCTCCGCAAGAGTAGTCTTTTCTACTCGGGTGCTCGTTTAATATCTTTTGGATGTGGCGACAGTTGAATACTGGTACAACCGACAGGTGGATCTAGGGCGTCCCGAACCACGCATGAAATAATCGAGGTAGTTAAGGGCCGCAAAAACAAATCAAATTTGTTGTTCAGCTGCCAGCCTGAAGCTACCAGCCACACTTGTTATTTCATTGCACCTGGCACTTACAATCGATGCCATCGAAGACGCAGCCAATTATAGCGTAGCATTTACGACTGGTCCTTCAGTAGCCTGCCCTCAATTTTAGGAGTCTGGGTCTGAATTCAGGTTAAAACTTATGCGCAGCAAGATGTCTCTTCTTGTTGACGAATACATCTTCTCTCCCCCGGCCCTCCTCCCTCCCAGACCGTCGCGTATTCCCCACAGCACGTGAGCACGCAGGTTTTGTCTCAATATACATATCAGCTAGCAAAAAATTTAAAAAGTCTCGTAGTAACAATCGGAAGAGGGTCTCCAAGCATCTGTTTCATAGAAAGAATACCTACTGTAGCTATTTGAGTAGGCATTATCCCTATATTTTTGTTGTTTCATCTAACCTGCAGTCATCGGCATGCTGCCTCACGCTATCATAGCATTTTTCCTTTTCTTTTCCTTCGACTACCTATGCAGACAACAGGGTAATTTGACTCATGTGGATCACTAGTCTAAGAGTAAAGTTAATCCACTTTACGAGAGCAACAGGAGCACTGAACTGGGCCACTCTGTTGGAATTGGCTTGGCGCTACGCTACGTGCCATGTAGTTTTCGACCTCCGCAAGAGTAGTCTTTTCTACTCGGGTGCTCGTTCAAAATCTTTCGGATGTGGAGACCGTTTCATACTGGTACGACGGACAGGTGGATCTAAGGTGCCCCGAACCACGCGAAGAATAATCGAAGTAGTTAAGGACCGCAAAAACAAACCAAATTTTTCATTCAGTTGTACATTTCAGAATTTTGGTCAACGCTTCGTGAGATAGCACACCTAATGCAACGAATGAGCCAGTCTGAAGCTGCCTGGCACATTTCTCAGTAGCCTGCTTTGGTTTAATAGGTCTGGATCTGAATTCAGGGTGACGGCTTCTGCATTACTCTCAGACGTAGCAGAATGTCTCTTCTTATTTACGAGTATTTCCTGTACCCCCTCTTAATCCTGCCGTCCCCCACACAACCCGCACAGTAAGTGATCACGCGGGTTGTCTCAAAATGCATACAAGACAGGAAAAATTTTAAAAATTGAAATCCTCCCCTACATTGACTGCCAAAAATAGACAGAATTGTAGATTCGCTCATGTGGACCATCGATTTAAAGATACAGCTAGCCCCCTCTTTAGCAAAAACTTCAATTCCCAAATACTGCTGACCAATGCTACAAACACCCAGCGCCTATCCACATGCCTGCTCGACCAACTGACGACCAGAGAGCCCGTCCGATTGGTCAGTCCTCACCTTTAAATCCACCGTCATGTCAACTCACCCGAATCGCTGATCCCCGCGCAGACCATAGCTGTCACCGGAAACATTGTAGATTTCAACCCATCCACTTACTCGTCCAGTCTCTCCACCAAAACCAGCAGTACCGATGCAAGTGGATAATAAGTAGAAGCGCTCGCTCAAACAATAGCTTTGTTTGCCTGACGTTTCGAATGACATACGAGATGAGCAATGAAATCGTACCCGACCCCCAATTCTGGCGAGCGATCCCGTACATCAGGAAGGTCTCTGAGGCCGTTAGTCGCCTTCTCACACTAATTGGGGGTTGGAATTGCATACAGACCGGAGGCCACCATAAGGCGTCAGCTTATGAGACCGAAAGACCCACTGCCACGGCAAGAAACATCTGGAGTCGTTTACCGGGTCTGGTGCAGTTACGAGCAAAGCAACTACGTCGGAGAAACTGTAAGACTGCTACGGACGCGAATTTCCGAACACCCGGCAGCGGTGCTGAGGTCACGGTCCATTCGACGAGACCCGGTCACACATTCAAGTTCGATGAGGCCGAAATTGCCCTGAGATTGGATAATCGCGTGAGCCGCGACTTGATTGAGTCATGGTTCACGGGACCTCAATCTATCAACAAGTGCAACGACATCCCTACTCCATATTTCGTGCTGAGACATAGGCTGGTCAAGGTAATTGACCACTCGGGGAGTGCGCAAGCCGGTGAGCCAGATGGCCGAGTTATCAGCACGCCAGCATCCAACACGGGTGATGAGGTGTCAGCAATTAACAACTTGCATGCCGGCTATCAAGCAATTAGCGCACCAGCGGGCATCCATGCTTGATGAAGGGGAGCGCGGTTAATTGCTGTAGGTATGCGGTAGTATAGCGACTGCATATTATAAATACTGCAACATCCTGTGCACGAGTCACTCGTTTCTGTCACTGTCTCTGATACTGGGTTTAAGTGAGAATGCGAGTAGTCGGGCGAATAAAGCCCTTGTTCGAGGGATCGCTTCTACATCTTATCAACCGGCAGTGCCACTGGCATCGCGGGTTCAGTTCCCACCTTCCCGCATTGTGGTTTCGCTTTTGCAGCCCAAACCGTCCTTTACTGTGTCACAGTGTGACCGTCGAATCACTGCCGGAAGCGCCTACATACACCTGTCACGCCCGCCTCACCTGTCCACGCTGCCCCAGGACGGTTGGTCATCGCAGAGGCCTGTTCGGCCGTATGCATCTCCTTGAAAATTGTTTGATAAAAACCGCAGCCCAGACCCCATCATCACACCTCTCGCTGCCTGTCCACACCCATATGATAGTTCGACCGTCGATTTCGACGATGTCTACTGTGCGCAGCACAGCGGGATGGGAGCAGGGACGGTGACTTGTTCGTAAATTAGTTTATAGTGATAGTAGACTTGCACAGCATCCACCGCACTACCTCCACCTCCTCCACCACCTGGACTAGGTATCAAGACAGAGTCAAGAAGACCAGAGGCAGGGGAGGGCGCAGGTGGATGGCGCGGTCAAGCCCGCACCTTGGCGTTCCACTCTGCACAACAAATAATCAGGTTTTTGATTAACAACAATGGGGGGGGCAGGGATCCCAGTGTGCGCGACGCACTCCGGCAGCCGGGTTCGCCACCGCACCCCAAAAGTGTTATCAGTTGTTACGGTGCGCGACTCCGATAACGCCTGCCGGAGTCCAATATGGACCCGTGTTGGTCCAGTGCATCTAACACATTGACCGCTTGGGGAGCACACCAAAATCATCATCATCATCATCATCATTATCATCATCATCATCATCATCATCATCATCATCATCATCATCATCATCATCATCATCATCATCATCATCATCATCACCACCACCATCATCATCATCATCATCACCACCACCACCATCATCATCATCATCATTAACAACAACCGACTGACAGGCTCCGATAATCGACCGGCACCGGGGTGAGCGAAACAAGCATTGGAAATTCATCCCCACGGGAAAGCACGGCATTCCTCATATAACTCTTTGGAGCTAAGTGTATTGGTGTGGAAGGATGTTAACTGGTGGGATAAGTCGGTCTTTTTTCAGTACTGACCTCCTGACAGCAGTGGCCCTTTTTGAATGTGGTCTTCATGGTAGTCCCGCTGATAGGAGATCGGGATAACCCCTCCAATCGTCCGGACCAGGCTATGGGCCCTGCCAGCCACCGCGCCTAACCTGATTGCCATTCGGTCTAGAAGCTGACAGTTGGCTGACGTATGAGCTCACTGCTGTCATCCGAAGTAAGTGAGGAGTGCAAAAAGACCATCCAGAAACATCCGGGGAGTGTTGTCGATGCTACCGAAATTCCAAACAAAAAACAGTCTGTGAAGCCTCGCCTCCCGTGGCACAACCAGCCAACTCGAGCATCACGTAGTCACCCACAGCTGACGACTACGTCCAGCCGCTCCCTTCATCATTTACTACTCCATTAAGTTGTTCCGTTCGCAGAACCCTAGCCGAATCAAGCATAGAATGGCGAACTCCCCTCCGCATCCTATCGATCGGGTTTCGATGAAACGCAGATATCATATCACTGACGGATGCACCTACCCGCATAAGATGTCTCCCCTTCTTCTTTTCAAACTATATCGCAATGATTAGTGCATAGGCGATGGATGGTACCTTGTTGGTCGTCGAGATGTGTTGCATATAACTACATATACGCATGCATTGCTCGGGTAGAATGTGATTGCGTCAGGGGAACTTTACGATAATCGCCGCACCCTCTCCTACCTCATCCAGTCAGGACGGCCGGAGGTGAACTCGGCCGAAAATGCTAGGGCCCGTCTGCGCGCGCCACACACGAGCCTTTTGGAAGCAAGGGGGCGTCGGATCCCATCTAAGCGGGAGTGCCAGTGTTGAGAAGCTCAGACCGTTGGCTGATGCGTGTAGTTGTGGCGGCTAGCCATCATGACTGGCCCGGCGTCATTGTTCGAGACCTCGCTGCCTCAAGGTCATTCACCCTTTGCAGCGACCGTCCCAGACGAGCTGACCTGAAGTCACACGACCAACAGCTCGGGCATATCTGCGTCCGCGCAGTCGCAGCTGCCCCCCATGCGGCCACTTGGACGCGTCACCCCCTGCAATCAGCAAAACAAGCCACTGGCACTCCACCCCTCGGAAAATGTAACACAAGCTGACTGGCCACCACTTGAGCTTGGCCCACGAGCCTACAAAAGCGGCTGCCACCATTATCACAAGGACTCTCAGGCCTGACTGGACGCAGTCAACATCAGCCCTGGCTTCGCCCGTGGCCACTGCCGCCACTCCGGGTTCTGTGCACAATAAACCCCTCATTCTGGTGCCTTCTGTCTTCTTCCTTCCAATCTGTGATTTGACCTGATAATGGTAGCGCACAGAGCACTTACCCTCTCTTCTGGGCCGCTACATAGTCACCTCTGCCATCCAAAACGAGTGTGACCTCGAGGTAAGTGAGGAATGCAAAGAAGACAAGGACTCGAGAAAGAGCCCTTAAGGCACAACGGAACGAGTGAGTTCCGTATGAACGAGCGGTGAGCGCTCCCTAACACTTTATATTCCCGATCGAAAACCGACAGGGCAACGGGCTCGTGACCCGGTGAGTAGAGGCGTTGACTTCTAAACCAACAGGTCGCGAGTTCGAGGCTTGGGTGTTCCACACTTCGGGCTTGGGTATGGCTGGCTGACGACGGCTAATAAGCCAGAAATGGCCATTCCAGTCTCCCTTGTCTATGTCGGTAATATCATTCTGCCTAAAGGCAAGGACTATCCATAAGCAGTCGGAGAAAGTTATTGATGCTGCCGAAATTCCCAACAAAGGACAGACGATGAAGTCCCCTCTCCTGTAAGATAACTCACACACAGACTCGACTACTACGTAGTCACCAGCGACTCACGACTACGTAGAGCCGCTCCCTCCATCTTCCGCCGCCCCAGTTAGTCACTCAATTGGCAGAACTCTAGGCAAAGCAAGCAGAGAATGTTGGTCCACCTACTGCGGATCCCGTAACTCCAACCTAAGATTGTTTTCCGTCCAACAATAGCTCGTTTAATGGCGTGCTTTCCGAATTCATAGATCAATCTTTAGAATACTGTCAAACTTCCAATAGCGATAGACCTTCTAGAGCCAGTATGAAGATTACATAAACTGAAACGACCGTTATTTCAAAGTTATCTGCTGATCCAGGGTGCCTGGAAAACAGTGATGGGTTTCTTAATGGTACTCAAGGAGGACGCAATGTTTGGAAAATACTTTATTTGGCCGCCTCATGTAGGCTCGTTTGGCAAAGGCGAACAGAAATTATCAGGATGAGAAATATTTGAGGATGAGGAAGAGTGTTTGAGGGTTGCAGCGTAGAATGGCGCAGGCGTCATTGTGGAGGTGGCGCACTTGCGAGAAGGTAGAGCAGCGTTGAGGCTTGTGGTCCAGTCTAAACCGCCGCCCAGGACGCCCGCAAGTGCCTGGAAAACATGCATAAGGCTGAGGACCTTGCGCCCGGAGAGGACGATTCCGGTACGGTCAAGAGGTAAACGAGCTGTCCGATGGCCGCGCTCAGAGGCCTAAACAGGAAGCCAATAATTTTAACTCGCCAAACACGTTTACTAATTATGCACAAGTAGCAACATTTTATAAAAGTAATACCTGGCGGTGGTAGAATTCTACATGAGAATTATGATCCACGAGACCGCCAATAACGTAAAAATCGTCGGAGGAAATCGATTATTTTAACTCTCCAAACACGGTTACTACAGTGCCTGATCGGTCTCATGGGATGTTGGCCGAAATTCTGAAATACGTCGTCGATTAGAGAGGATTACTTAGGTGGGGTTGTAATAATGATAAATATGTTGTCTAAGACTATAGCATTTCGGACTCATCAGGATGTCGGATTTTGGATGTACCCCTCTTTGACCTTCTGTAGAAACTGCACTTGGTAAAAGATGACTACTTAAGAAGCATGCATTCTTCCTATTTATTTTCGATAGTCTTATAAATTCAAATATATTTTATAGAAAACATGCACAAAAATATGTTTTTTCTTACTCTTTTGGTAGAAAATCGCATTGTCTTGATATTTTATACCCAAAGAAAGTGTGCATATTTGGGTTCTTAAAAAGTTTCTAATTATGAGATTTTTAAGACTGTGCGCTATCCTTGCATACCGGACCGCATATGTCCGTATACCACAACACAGTCCGGATCCATTGCGAAATTTTAGGGATTATATGTGGTACCTTCTTAAAGACATAGAGGAATATATGATTTTCCTTATGCGGAAAGCATGCACATTATAGACTGAAATCGCCAAACGCTAATGCAATGGCACATCAGGAACAAAATTATTCGGGAATTCGAAAACTTTTTAAAAACCCAAATATGCACACTTCCTTCGGGTATGAAATATCAAGACAATGCGATTTTCTACCAAGAGTAAGAAAAAACATATTTTTGTGCATGTTTTCTATAAAATATAATTGAATTTATAAGACTATCGAAAATAAATAGGAAGAATGCATGCCTCGTAAGAAGTCATCTTTTACCAAGTGCAGTTTCTACAGAAGGTCAAAGAGGGGTACATCCAAAATCCGACATCCCAGTGAGTCCGAAATGCTATAGTCTTAGACTGCATACTTATCATTATTACAACCCCACCTAAGTAATCCTCCCTAATCGAAGACGTATTTCAGAATTTCGGTCAACATTTCATGAGATCGGTTACGCACTGTAGTTACGCACAAGTAGCAGCATTTCATAAAAGTAATACCTGACGATGGCAGAATCCTACATGAGAATTATGATCCACCAGACCGCCAATAACGTAAACATCGTCGGAGGCAAATTTTGGTTCTTCTTCACCGCCACTGTTCACACCAGGAGAAATAAACTCATCCGGTAGCTCATCGTCAGCTTCGGCGCAGAGGTAGACGATTGAAGTTGCTGGGAAAAGCTCGGTGAAATCTTCCTACAAAGAACGGGGAAGGCGAAGGAAAACGGCGAATAAGTGACAGGATAAAAACAACTTGGTAGATCTGAAGGAGTGGCTTCAGTGTATCGGCCTTTTTGTCCGTCACAAAGGCAATGAAAGAGGAATAAAGGAGTTTAAGACTTAAATCGCATGACCGATAAGGAAAGCAACGACTGCAATCGGAAAGCATGCTGATAGATGGAAAAGATTACTTAAGCGAAATCGCAAAGTCGACATCCTAGCTTTGCATTAATAATGACCAAAGTCGCCTGCATTTCTACTCTGAGCTCCAGCAGTTGCTCTGGCAATTTTTTAATTCGCCCGTTGTCATCCTAATCGCCTATTGCCCTCCTATAACTTCTCCTAGTAGTAAAAAGATTACAATTCGACCGTCGTTCCCGACGATGTTCATCGTATGCCCCACAGCAAGGCGAGAGCAGGCAAGATGACTTGCACGTGATTTAGTTTACAGCGAATGTAGACTTACACAGCACCCCCTGCACTCTCTCCTCCCGCGCCTGGACTCGGTGTCAAAACGGAGTCAAGAAGACGCAAGAGGAAGCAGGTGACTAGCACGGCCGAACCCGCACCTAGACGTACCACCACCACACCCCTTGGCCAACAACAAACACTTGACTGGGGGGTTTTAAACAACAAAAATGGGTCAGAAAGAGGAAAGGATGGCACAGGTCACTGAACAACCATGCACACGGACTGTATATCCAGCGGGAGAGCAAGCGGATCCACCGCAGGAGGGAACCAGGTGCCAGCGTACGCCAGGCAAGTGCCTCCACCAGCTCTCATGTACCTGTTGATAGTATCTCTTGATGGTCTCTACGCGGCAGTGTCACCCACGGCCAGGAAGATGTGTACTAAGATCAAACGATAAAAATCGCTCCTTTGGAATAGGTCAGTATAGGTCAGTATATTTTAAGAGTAATAGGCAATGCCTTTGAAAACCCTATTGTAAACGGTACATGCAATATCTCACTATAAATAAACATGGTACTGAAAGTTTGTCAGTAATATACGCATTTAACAGAATATTTTCCGTGAAAATGTAGAACCAAAACTTGTGAACATTCAGTTGTAGATGATTTCAGTAAAATGTAAGGACAGTCATCCGCATTAGCGGTATGAGTATGCAAGGCGTTGGTTGGTCGTCGCTTGAAACATTAGCTTATTCATTGAAACCTTGGGGCTGTGCTGGAGATATCTTCAAAGACGTGCAAAGTTGATATAACCGAGTTCCAGTGGTGAACTTGCCTGGTGGCTCAGGAATCAACTCTCCTTCGGTAAAGCTTATATTACGCCCGTCATAGGAATGCCGGCGTCACATGCCGATTAGCCTTCTATCACGCGGCGATACAGCAAATAGACAAAACGATCATGAGTACATATGCTCTTCTGACGTAAATGGCTGCTTAGGAATCTGGGTCTGTCTTTCGCGTGTCGGGTGAATTACTGCACGATGAGTGCCTTATTTTCACATTGGCAAGACATCTGAACAGAGCACGTTGCTTACGGCCCGCATGGCTTGCTTCGACTCCACCGCAAGTCAGGCGGACTAGGCAATGAATAAAACGGTAAAGGCGTCCGAAAAGACTGGCACGGTCAAGTACCACTTTCAGGAAGAGGTCCCAGTTCTCTGCGCTGACCAGGTTCAGTCGAGATAGGGTACTCTTCGAGGCCGGGGGACGCGTCGTGACGCAACCGGCGTCGTGCTCCGAAGTGCTCCTTGAAGACGCAGCCTCAGGGACATTCGACTGGCACTGCTCGGTGATCGGTGAAGGCGCTGAACTCTCCCTAAAGGCGGAGCCGAGTCCAGTGACGTAGAGTTGGACAGGGGAGGGCAGATGTCGATTAATGGAGTAACAGTTTGAGATCTGTGCAAGAATCGGGGTGGTAAGAAGATGAGTGTGCAGACGTTAGAAGGATAACCTGGGAGACTCCTGAGCCCCCAATATAAAACTCGCTGTTTGGTTGTGAGACAACCGCGCAAGCGTCCCACTTTTCGTAATGGCGTATCGTCCTTGATTTTTCGTCACTCTCGAACATGCGCCCTACATTCAGCCCATATAACAAGCAATTAACCGATCAACACTCAGCTGCTCACTTCTTCGTGCTGGCGCGTACATGTCCGACTAATGTGAACACCACTCCACACCGCGATTGGTGCCCTTCCGAATGAGGGCTTTGCTCTCACACGCAAGCAGACAGGCAACTCACGGCAATCTTCCCTGTGTACAGAATAAACCTGTCCTCACAGCTCCCTGAATGAAATTATTGTGTACGATTACAGTTGAGCCTACATCCTTAACTGCCACGGTTGGACCAAACCAGGGGATAAGACAGAAGTCTAGCATGCGTCAGATAGAGGCAGCAAGTCATGTCAGCCAGTTGGTTAAACTCGGACTTCGCCATCTGGTCAGATCGTCGTCTCTGGAAAATTAGCTACCGCGCCAACCACAAGGCAGTTCAGTCGATCAAGCACCCACTTTCTCATAACAACTAATATGACGCGTCGTAAACTGATTACTAAACGCAGGAAACCGTTGCACTGAAGAGGCCCTCCGTTACTATGAAGATAAGGGCGAGGTCACAGCGTCTGCTGCCTGATGGCATCTGCCGCCGAAACGTGATCCGCCATATTGAAGTCAGCCTCGTACACCTTTATAAACAGATAGCTGACACGCACAAATGCGGGTAGTACAGTGAGTGACCGACCTCATGAAATGTTGGCTGAAATTCTGAAGTGCGTTTTCGATTAGGGAGGATTACTTGGGCGCGGTTGTAATACTAATTATCTTGTAGCATAATCTTATAACATTTCTGACTCGGCAGGATGCCAGCTCTCAAATACACTGCTTTTCAATCTCCTGAAGAAACCGTACTCGGTAAAAAATGACTTCTTAAGTAGCATGCGTTTTTTTTGATTTCGATGGTCTCGCAAATTCAAATATATCTTATAGAAACCATAAACAAAAATATGTTTTCTTTCAGTCAATTAATAGAGAATCACATCTTTATATTTTATCCTCAGGGAAGGAGTATAATTAAGTTTTTAAAGAGCTTACAAATTTTCGCATAATGTTGAGCCTTATCATTCGTTGCATTACCGTTTAGTGATTTCAGTCTACAAGGTGCATGCGTCCCGCGCAAAAATTACATATTTTTCTAAGCTAATAAAAAGATATCATACAGAGTCCATGAAATTTTGCAGTGGATGCGGACTATGTTGTTCAGTTTGTGAGGAGCTGTGGTAAACGGCCAGATACGATGCTATGTGAATGGACACTGCGCGGTCTTAAAAAAATCTCATAATTAGAAACTTTTTTAAAACCTAATTATACTTCTTTCTTGAGTATAAAATGTAAAGATGTGATTCTCTATCAATTGACTGAAAGAATGTATATTTCGTTTATGGTTTCTATAAGATATATTTGAATTTACAGGACCATCGAAAATCAATAGGAAAAATGCATGCTACTTAAGAAGTCATTTTTTACTGAGAAAGTAATGCATTCAAAAGCTGACATCCTACCAAGTCAGAAATATTATAGGAGTATGCAACGAGGTATTCAGTATTACAACTGCACCCAAGTAATCCTTCCTAATCGAAAACGCATCTCAGAATTTCAACCAACATTTAATGAGATCAGTCACTCAGTGTATGTTGTGGGAGGTTGGAAGGAGAGTGAATGAGTGAGTCGTGTGCAAGCTAACACCACCCAGGAAGTCCGCAGTGAATAAACATGGGCAATTCAACATGCTAGCCAGTAAAAGAAGGTCGCGACCTCCTCCCCTGAAGAAAGGCCCCAGGATGAGTTCTGTGTCCCGCATACTGAAACATAATAAAAAGCTCAAAGAGGGCATCAGGACAACCTCTGTAGGCTTTGACTGACGGCTTTTCTCTACCCGCGGATTTTCGGAGACGTTTTACCGCTCGGATTTCAGCGACAAGGCCGGCCTGATTGGCGTCAATAACCCTCTAGATATAAGGGTCCTCGGTTGTTTCCGTCTGATCGTTGAAAATTCACAGACCATAACAAGCAGTCGACGCATTTAAAGGTACCAACATGCGAATAAGTCGACAGGACACGAAGAGTACATAACTGCTACCTGATGCGCGAGCTTGCAGATATCCTTGAAAGACATCATGTGATCATAGGCACAGTCCAGTACGACGCGCGTTTTGCAGCTTGATTCGGACATCTTGACGATCTGCGGCTTTGGCAATCGAGGAGTGACCTCGAGGCCCGACTGCAAAGCCTGTTTCCGCCGCTCCTGCTTGCGCATCTTGTGCGCCTTACGCAACCTTTTACGATCCTCACAAAAAAGAAAACTGACAAATCTCCCGAACCTACCTCTTTTCTGTCGAGGTACTTCTCCAATTTTGTCCTTTTGTTAGTTTTCTCGTGGGATTCATGCTCTTCAACATCCTCTGGATCTACGATGTCGCCGTTCGTAGCTGTAGCTACAGCGGACGAATCCATAGTAGGGTGGTCGAACAGTTTATTTTTCGCTATAAATAAGTTCTACTGAAACGCGATTCAAGTAGGCTTGATTAATGTGCAAAAATGCAACTGGTCACGATGGAAATTTATTAGACAGCTTGGGTCATGCAGTGGGAGCATTCGGTTTGTGAGTTCTGCGTTTGAAACAGGCAACGAAAAAACCGACAGTCAAGTCCTTTTCGGGGTTAGCGCGAACGCAGCACGACATATCGTCGCCGAGGCCTCGGGTCTTCCAGGGTGCTCGCGGTATGACAGGGGCTTGTGCGGAGTTGGAGGTAAGCTCGGGGGTCGGTTGGTCTTGCCAAATCTTCAGGAGAAGAAACTCCTCCGAAAAGTTGGCAGCCTGTTCACGCACAACGGTCTCATTCTCCTGAGAGGGTGAGACAGAAGTCAGTTAAGAAAAAGGCCAAGGAAACAGATGAACTCTCGCCAGTTCGTCGTAGACATCACAACAGACCATGAAATTCCGGTAAAAATGTCAAACTTCAAGGAAACGACTTTGCGTCAATCTCCCCGTGGTTGACCATGTGTATAAATGCGGTTTCAAACGGACCAGTTACAGCTGTTTGTCTGAAAGTGTAGTAGACCTGTTTGACGTAATGAAAAGAATCAGTCTATGGGGAATTAATGAGTAAAACGCATGCCTCTCTAAGAGGCTATTTCCAGATTTTCCATTAAAACAAACTAATTGCATGAACCTCGGTGCTGCGAAATGATGTTGTGACAGGGAAAGGCTAGTTTAAAACGACGGTTGTTAAATGCATGATCCGCTGAAACTCCCGAAGCGTTGATGGATATTTGTAAATTTTCAATTAAGGGTACAAAGCCAATTGACAAGCATGGGACATAATCTTCGTACATCCAGACCGGCTGGCCAGTGCCTCCACGTGCTGCCAAAACAAGTCACTTGGAAAAATATTCCGTAGTGTTCGTGTCGGATTAAAAAAATACCTACAGCCCAGTTCGATGCCCCCTCAGTGCAACGACAGTTCGACCGTCGTTACCAACTACAGTAGGTGGGCTAACTCATCAAATTTCGGCCGAAATTTCGAAATGCGTTCTCGTTTCGAAAAGATTAGTTAAGTAGAGCTGTAAAATTAATCAACGACCAGCACGATTTTATAATGATCCAGTTACCTCAAGATACCTTCCTTCGAATGAAATTATTTCCGACTGCAAGCAAGAACTATACTCTGTAAAAAATGACTACTTAAGTAGCATTCAATTTTCTCACTGACTTCCGATGACCTTGAAAATTCAATTATATTTGCTGAAAAAAAATGCACATGGATGTTCATTCTTTTATTTGTTCCGTAGAAAATCACGTCTTCTTTCAATTTTATACTCGAAGGAAGAGTATAATTCGATTTCAAAAAAGTTTCTAATCGTGGGATTTTCAATACCGTGAAATGGCCGTTCATAGAACGTCATGTATCTGAATTTACCAATGTGGCTTGTAAAGCTAACAATATTGCTCAAATACACTGCTTAATTTGATGAACCCCATATGGTCTCCTCTTAATACCGTACAGAAGTGTATGGTTTTCCATACACGGGAAACATACGGCTGGTAGTTTTGAAACCGTGAATGCAGGTATAACAGCAGGTCGGGTACAAAATTATTCGGGAATTGGAAAAGCTTTTTTAAAACGAAATTATGTCCCTCCTTCGAGTATAAAATTGAAAGAGGACGGGATTTTCTACCGAATAAGTGAAAGAATGAATGCTTTTATGCATGTTTTCCCTGAAATATAATTGCATTTTGTAGGGCATCGAAAATCAATGAAAAAATTGCATGCTACTTAAGTGGCCATTCTCTGCAGAGTATAATTCTTGCATGCAGTTCATTCGAAAGAAGGCACCCTGAGGTAACTGGATCATCATAGAATTACAACCCTAGGGAACTTATCTTTTCGAAACGAAAACGCATTTCAAAATTTCGGCCGGACATTTCATGAGTTAGTCCACCTACTGTATGTCCATCGCCTGCAGCGGTGACTCGCGCTCGAATAAGCGTGTAGCCATGGCAGACTTGCGTTGCATCTACCGCACTTTCTCCTCTCAACCCCAAATCTGATGCACCCGGTGCCAAGGTAGAGTCAAGAAGACCGGAGGCGGGATCTCGCGTACAGTGGCTGACAGATCTCAACAACTCGTCTACGCGTCTCACACATTAGACTAGGTTTTCACACGACAAGAAAGGTGAACGCCTGGCATCTGAACCGAGTGGAAGCGACATAGAGGCCGCATTCAGGAGCCTGCCTCTCCGTCCTCACGAGAGGACCAAGTTTTTACGCTACTTGGCAGCTTCCCAAGTCACGGCTGTTAGCGGCAGCAACAAGAGAGATGCAGATCAGGTTCCCGGGTCGGTATGAGAAGGACCGAACATCACATCGAAAAGAATTGAAATGGAGGGATGTCGGAGTGCTGTTTGTCAGTTGAATAGGAGGTGCGGGACAGTATACGAGTAACAGATGTGAATTACTAACCAGACAGTATGATTTTACATCCCACAGACTTGACTCGGTCCTGCTAGTAAGACACAATATAAGGCCAACGCTGCGTGTCTTCTGCTCGCAAGAGTAAATCTGAGTAACCTCATTCTGGCCACGACGCGTCGTGACTTGGAAGGTCGCCCACTGTCGTCATAACTCCGCTCTACTCAGGGCCAGCCTACATGGACTTCTTCCTAGTGTGGCCTTCGTGGTACCTTCACCAGCGTCGGATCCGACATCTTCTTGTTGAAGACTGGTTCGTGTAAAGTTGGCGATCAGTAAGTTTGCGGCATGCATAAACGTGGATTCGGCCCGATCAGCCAATGTGCCTACCGCCAGCTTGAGCTGTATGGAGTCTGTCGTACCATGGTGGGTGCGAGAAGAGTACATGACTCCTACCTGATACGCGAGTTTGCAGATATCCTAGACAGACTTCATCCACCAGAGAACGCAGTGGCAGTCCTCGTCACATTCGACAAACGAGCTCTCAGAGGAGTAGTGTAAAGATGGGTTTCGAATTACCACGCATGTGGGATCCCCGCTGTCCTTACGGTGTCCTGGTGCACGTATTGGGAACCAGGCCGTGTTTGGCGCGCGCGTAGACGGACGATTTGACACCATCAACGGTGGTATGGAGCGCTCACCGATTGTTCTCACGGAACTCACCCGTTCTGTTGTGCCTTTCGGGCTGTTTCTTGGGCCCAATTAGCAGCCGCACAGCGGCGCATGATATAGGCAGAATGGCATTACCGACATAGACAAGGGAGACTGAAATGGCCATTTCCGGCTTATTAAGCGTCGTCAGCCTGTCATACCCAATCCTGAAGTCTGGCACACCCGGGGAACGAACTAGCGACCAATTACTTAGAAGTCCACGCCTCTAACCATTGTGCCACGAGCCCGTTGCCCTGTCTGAGCGCCCCTTACCATTGTATATTCCGACCGAAAATCGACAGGGCAACGGGCTGAGGAGAGCGCGCAGCAGACTCTGCGCAAGTCTGTCCTACCATGAGCTAACGTACGCGCAAGCTGCCAATGCTGTGTCCGCCCCGTGGGGCACACAGTGGATGTCGTCGAGCCTGACTGTCTAGATGTCCTGTCGTCGAAACCTATGCCCGCCATTGGCAGAGGATGTGTGCGTGTGTGGATGAGAAGATTCAAACGTTATCTGTGTCCGTCAAGGGGACCCCCAATAACGCGCAGTTTACAGCTGCCTTCCAACAGCAACTGCTGGAAGCAGCCTGACGGACCATCCTGGGGCAGGAAACAATAACACAGTTGAGAGGGCATAAGATAAACCGCCTGGCATCGAACTATGTTACTGTCGCTTAACCGATGCACGAGCGCTTGCACACAATGGCCTTTTGCAGGCGTTTGAAAAGACTTAATCCCGTCGTCCATCTCACTTAACTACATTCCTAACTGGATTCTTGGGAAAGCCAATCGTGTTTTAGATAGCGAATTTTCACCAAGACGCGGTTGGTCAATGCTGACAATATCGCGCCGCTAGCGTATGGCCACACTAACCCATAGAATGCAGCAGCTCGGCTGAATAGGGTTATTAAGTCTGTCAGCTTGTCTGCCGATTATGCAAAAGCCAAAGTATCCTAGAGCTGCATCTTTGACTGGAGGAAGGCACTCCTTGTAACTATCGGCTCTTCCGGGAGGTGTACAGGTTGAAATATGTAGATGCAAAGTTATTCCCAAGAGCAGTGCAGCTCGCAGGGTTTTCGCAAGCCCTCGAAGGTATCTGTCGATTGACAAAGATATCTGTCCGCAATGGGCATTCGAAATGAAGGAAAATGAAGGAAAGAGGGCAACGATTGAATATGTGACCCGTAGTTTTACTACTGCAGCACGTCTACTTATTTTGCTTAAGCAGGCATGTTGTGTTAGGGTCATAATTACAGGTAAGGTTGCGAATAGGATTGCACCTTACCCAATCCGGCTACCAATAACCAACCACCACAAATTACCTGCTTTCAACCCGTTTACGCACCTTTAACACGTATCATTCAAGCTGTGTGGTATGCGCCGGCACCTCGTTAGGGCAATAAAACAAACATATGACAGAAATACGAGTATTTTCAATGCCTTACGCGGACTGACTCAAGCACCTTCTCCATCCACCCCAGTCATAAAACCCCCAATAACATTCTTCCTGTATTATCGAAAGTAATTTTGCTCCATTTTCTCCATTTTCTCAATCCTTGCCAGGAAGAGGAATAAAACTAAGCGCTTGTACCTGTTGTGTTTTGAGTGAAGTGTAAATAACTCTGTCCAAATGAGACTGTCTGCAGTGACTGCAAATAAATCGAGGGGCCATCTGCGCCAATCCATCATAGAAGGCCTGTTCGGTCGGGTTTGCCCAGGAGTTTAATGCTGCTTCGTTTAACTAAGTGCGACGAAGGGGACGCCAACCGAAAACCTGACTCGATACAGTCCGCCAAAACTTGAAAGTGGTAATTCAGTACTCTGTTACCGCTGGAAGGTTAACTGGCTGCGCGACAAGGAAAGCCGCCTGTCGAAGAGGTTGAACTATACCTCTTCGTAGACTGAACAGGTTGAGTAGACAACCAGCTGCACGGAGGGAAAGGAGAGCGCGTGCCGCAGGAGCTTAGACTGCAGATTGGACAGTCGAGTTATCCGCTCCTTTGGTGGAGGGCCCTCTTGGGCCAGTTCGGGGCGACGCGAGTGGAGACCGGAACTGGAGCAAGAGGGGTCCAAAAGGATGGCTGTCAGGTCCGCGAAAGCGGGGTCCTGAGGATCGAGACTGAGGAAGTCCACACAGCGGGCGTCAATCTCGCAGAGCTGGTTTTTTTCGGAGGTGACGCCTTCCAACACACTGGCTCCGTTCACAGACAGTGAGTGACCTCCTAGCTCGGCACAGGACCGAAGATTGCTGCAGAGTTGTTGGAACCTTGTTGAGGGAAAAGGAGCAGGAGCTCATAAGCTCAGGTACTAACTTTATTCATAAATAGCCCGTCCAAAATAAGACGGCTAAGTCAAGACGGAGGTAGATTTAGGGCCTCTTCAATAGTCCTCAGAAATCTGAAGTCCTTGGCTTATTAAAGCTTCATAAAGCTACAGTAGGCGTCGGAATTCGCGAAACACTGCTGAACACCGTCAAGTTAACTGGGGTTGCAGTGCTAGTTAGCAGGAGGCATAGTCTCAGGTGATCTTTGGCAGGTGATCTGCGGCATGCTGACATTTGGTTGACGGTCTTGCAAGCCGCTTGTATGAATCGTTCTGAGAGACCAAAACACTACTTAAGTAGCCCACACTTTTCAATTATTTGTGATGCTGGAACAAATTTGATCATATTGCTCAGGACTGGTGTAGAACGGATGGGAATTTATACTGCCCTTGACGGAAATCTACATGACAGTTCAGTTCGACCGTAGATTGCAAAAATGTTCAGCGTCGGTTAAATGAAACTCACAACACTTGAAAATGAGTGGTGGGAAGTTGTGAATATATCGAGCGAATCAGGTGCGTAATAATGTCAACTTTAAAGGGGTGTGTGTCCCTGGAGTCTAGCATACAGGAACTTATTGGTTCTGCCTACAGAACCAATCTTCTTCAGTACTTGTGCGACATTAACAGAGATATGCTGTTAAAAGGGAATATAACGTTGCCTATGCATAAAATTATCGCTCTTCCAAGTGTAGACCTTCGGCGAGGCGTAATTGGCCACAAGACAACCAATGGGAGCGAGGGTTCGTGTCGTCAACGGGTGCACTTGACTAGAAAGCACCTCTGAACTTTTTAGCGGTCTGCGCAGAACTACGACTTCGAGAAAGTTATGAGGCAAGTACTTCACATTACAAACGAAAAAATCCCCGCTTAAATAAAGCGCTTGTGGTGACCGATTATTGGAAGTTATTTTCAAATAAAAAATAAAGTCTTACCGCTTTGGGTCTCTGTCGAGGGCAATAACTTTACTGGACTGCCCAGAGGACAAACCGGCGATGAGCAGAGTGGCCTTGTTGCCGGGTGCAGCACAGGCGTCCAACACTGTAACCCGATGTGTCTTGCGAAGGCACGGAGAGGAGAGGAGCACCATGGCCGGAATGCAACTGGCCTATAAGGGCAGAAGCCGGTTAAGAGTAATTAAATCCTTTAGGGCAGACTAAATCAATGAGACAACACAAGGAGTTAAAACGCCGACCCTAGGGTAGTGCAAATCAGTTCACATTCCCTTCTTCATGGCCTTTCAGATCCGACTCCGACGCTTATTTGAGTTAAATACTCTTAACAGAAACACTTGGCATAGTCCGCTAATTTAAACAGTTCGGGCATGCTCAGCTGCGGAATATGGGAAATATGGAGGCCTTAGTCCATTCAGAAAACGTGTGCCACCAGAGCAAAGTCAAATCGCTGATTCACCTGGGAGATTCTGGTGTCGGGCGCTCCACCGCCTGAGCTATGGTGGACCCGCCTGTCAGTTGTGATGTTCAAACTAGACATTTCTGTTAGGATCGCCGGACAGGGTACAAGATAACTACTTGGAACAGACAAGCTCGGCACAGTATCCATGTATCGTAGAGGACAATCACTGGTTGCGTTACGGGACCTACTCGCGCCGTTGTGCTTTGGGGTTCGATCTAGAGTTACGCAGGAAGTCGTACAGGATGATCGCGATCGGTAAGCGCCTTCTGTCATTTTTAAAATACCCGATCAGAACCGACTGGACAAGGAGGCCGTGGCCCAATAATTAGGGCGCTGGACTTCTAACCTACAGAATGCGACTTCAAACCCGAGAGGTTGTTAGCGATGAGACTGCCTATGACTGGTGGACGACGGCCAACAAGCAAGAAATGGTCATTTTAGTCTTTCCTGTATTTGTCGGTAACGTCATTATGACCTGTTTCATAAGCTTCTGAAAAACAACGATTTAAAAAGTATATGCCTGCCCAAGCATTGCCTGGACTAAACGGTTTCTGGAGAGACGACGACGACAGCGGACTGCGAACATCTGCAAGTCGATCAATAATTATCAAAACCCTGTTTAGTTTTGTTGAGGGGAAAGTGAACACACAAAACATGCTACTACGGGGTTCTGAGCTATAGAATTATGCTGTTATTCGGCCAAAGTTAAAGGCACTCAACTCCCATACTAACATGCGCATTGAGAACGAACCTGAAAATCCCTCCCTCGATTTTAATATGCTTTCCTCCAACAGTTTCTGAACGAATAATAAAACATATCGTTCTCATGAAAACGTATTTTTTTCTCGATAATCCTGTCAAATTACGTCTGGTCACGCCTATTCTATACAACCATCATAAAGAGTAAATTCAAACTGTGTGGCCGCAACTCCCTCCTCCTGTGGACCTTAAGGCCAGAACGAGAAAGAAAACTCCCCCAGGCCGGCCCGACATGATTTGGAACGCTTTCGATCGTAGCCAACAGGGCTTGTGCTCGTGCCTAAAACAGTACAGCGAATAGTTAAACGACAGACTTAGGTCGCGAGTTCCTCATGCAGGCAAACAAACCACAAATGGGAATTCCAGCACTCCTAGCCTGTGGCAGTGATACTTATCGCTCACATGATGACTGTGGAATCCTCCTACACTAGATGCAGGTAGAGAGGACGATAAAGGGCGGTTAAAAAATACTAAAAATTGTAGTACTGGACCTTTATCTTACTTCCCGGTGGGTTAGTTAGCTAAGAAATCTAGGGAACAGTGGTTACGCAAGTGCCTTTGAAACCCTGATGTTATTTTCTAAATCAACATCTATTTACGGTTGTAATTAATTGGCGACACGAGAAGGCGAAGTAGACGGTTGTTAATTTAAAATAAACGATAATTTCAGAATTATGCAAAAACACGGAAACCCACCTTGTCCTGAATAATTACTTTATTGGAAGTCCGCAGGGAGCAATCGTGAAGATCTGAACCCGCACCGAAAGCAAGCAAGAGATCTGGGAAGTGGAAATCTCGAACAAATTCGTTTGGCTTGAGGCGCCTCACCGTCTTCAGAAACCTATATTGCCTGGATAGAGGGGTGAAATAAGTTACTTCCGATAAGAGGTTCCTTCTGTTGAGTACTCGACGAGGGTATATACACCAGACTTTGCAAGACGTTTGATGATTTTTTGCATTGTAGTACAAAGCGTGTTAATGCGTACGAAGACAGGCAAGCGCATGGTTGTCTCATCCACCGAAGTTTCTAAAGGAGGATTAGTTTAAAAAACGGGCTTGTCGCGTAACGAAAAGGCAGCTGGGGCCGAATCACCGAGATTAAAATCGTCAGAAAGCATGAGTTCTACAAACACCTCTTGTAAAAGGATTCCGTTGTGTCTGTCAGGAAGATGTTTTACCGGGATTAGACAAAATAGAAAGAAGGGGCAAGGCAAAGAACCGTAAGGAGGTGTAGACGGTCCTGAAAGGCAGATACCATTAAGTTTGGAAATACTCTGCAAAGATAATATGCCAATGTCAAGTAATGCTGTAGAAAAATAGCGTAAAAGTCAATTTACTCAGTACATTCGACGATAAAGACGACACTATGCGAGCATGAGGAGTGGCGATGTCATTGGGGCAACACAAACAAGTCATTTAGCATTAATGACAACGAGGAAGCGATCGGCCATTTATCAAAATGAAAGACCAAGATGCTGGGTGTCCGGCAAAGGTAATAATTAAGTATAACCCGAGCCAAGTCATCGCAATTTTATCACGGTCCGCTCCTTGCTCTATATGCGGCAAGACTACCCGAAATCGCCTTAAACAACGTAGGGATGGTTACGAAAGTCAAGACCCAAAACAGTGCAGCCTTCAAACAACTGCAGACAGGAGAAAAGAATGATCGTCCGCCCCTTAATGCAACGATTTAAAATAAAGGCTTATTTCGGAAAAGTATTCATAGAAAATGGTAGAGAAAAACCAAACATTACGTTAACAAAACGACCATTGATACCTCCTTTAAGAATGCGTTTGATCGACTTTCGAAGGGAGGAGGCTGCGTGCGGGAGTTTTGTATTTTTCCGGAGGATCTGTAAGGCGATCCGTCGATGTCCAAACGGTTTTCGGCAGCAACTCAAGTCGAAGGCCACAACTGTCAGCATACATGTGCTGCATGCGGGTCTAGCTAAGTCTGTTGTGTGCTTCTGGTGCCGTAAACTTTTATCGTCGACAGTCCCTGTGTCGCGCAAACCTTTTAGAAGTTGCTTTTGTGCCGAAAGGCAGCGGGAGACAAAGGCAAAGAGCGCCTTCGACTTCTGCGAACTGCAACCAACAAAATGAATCTTACGGGTCCTTCGAGAGAGTAAAATGCATTCTTGAGTCCGATCTTTTTTGATGATACCACGCAGAGGAGTTTAGATGCATTTTGATAGAGAGCCTGACTGTTCAACATTACACGCTGGGCAAGGCGGACACAACCACAATACCAACAACGAGAAAACTAAAAACAACTGCGACTCTAAAGAGTCAAGGTCGGAGCAACTCTGAAATTACTTTGCAGTGGACTTCAGACAAATTCCTATTTCCATATGAAGCAACTTCTGCAAAAACTATCGAAACGGATCAAAATTCGAATCTGGCAGCAGACAGTGTTTTGCGGTAACCTATGGGTATAGTTGGTCTTGTAGGGTGCCAACCCAACACTAAGTCTTCTGAACTAACGCCGTTATGCATCCCACCAGTAACCACGGGCAAACCAAAACGTCTACTTAATTTCAAGACGGGTCGGAATGCCCGTTCAGTCACTCAAATAGTAAAGAAGCCCAGTCTCTGTGGGAAAGCTTTCCCTCCACAATCGTCCCCATACCGCAACTGAACAGACCTTAAAGTGAATTTAATAAAATCAGTATGCCAATATTACCGATTACGAATGACGTTCTCGATCTACTTAAAGCGATGAATTGCATTATTCAGCGCACTTTATTCACAGTAGTATTCCTTGAGGAATCCAAAGTCGGCAATACAGAAGTGTAGGCATTTGTACACTTTTGATTTGTTCCACTACATTGCTTGTACACCTGACCTGCCTGTACATTTGTTTGACTAAACTGAGAATACACTTTTTTGGAACAACGCTACGGCGGACAACATGTGTTCTGGTCTCGAGTGTGTTTGACGTCGTTATTTCTTGGCGTGCGCTTGTCACTTCTCAATTCTCTTAGCAACTCGTTCGTGCTGCCGGAGACTTCCTCCTCGAAGCAAACTTCAACGGACCATCGCGGAACCTAGAGCCTCCCTTCAACCATTCCTTCGTCGGGACACTATCTCCCTACTTGATAGGATTCTACCTTACGTGAGTCTGGAACATTCCTTTTCTGGTTCTTTCAATCTGTACATTCATTTTTGTTCGTAAACACAATTCCCCTATTAGGAGTTAGTTTTTTTTGCATATATTATCGTTTGTAGTTTCTAAGTCCACATTTACACTACAAAACTGGTGACCCCGCTTTTTCCTGCATTCCGGACCTTTTTTTATTTACCATGGCCAGTGAAGACTCCCAAAAAGACTCACTCGACATTAACACCCTTTCTTTTAAACTGCTACCGTTTACCCCGAGCAACCCTCGCGTTTGATTCAGGCAGATCGAGGCTCTTTTTGTGACAAGCCGCATTACCAGCGAGCGTACCCGCTATTCGTACTTTTTGCAGTTACTCCCTTTTGATGTAGCGGTCACCGTCGAAGACCTCCTTGACCCCATTCCAGCAGACAAACCATATACGCTGCTGAAGGAAGCGGTTATCCAACGGGTAGCTAAATCGGCTAACCTTATGCTGCGGGAACTTTTCACTCAAGTGGAGCTAGGTGATCAGACACCTTCTCAGCTCATGCGTCACATGCGCTCACTCCTCGCTGGTAGGCACATGGATGACGCCATTTTTCGCGAGATTTGGTTAGAAAAGTTACCGGTGCCTATGCAGCAGGTTTTGGCCATGTTGGACTCGAATACATCTTTAGAGAAACTAGCTACCCACGCCGACCGAATCAAAGAGTGTTACCCCATGGGTGCCTCGTGTTCCACTATCCAACAGCCACCGCCTTGAAAAGGCAAGCCCCATCAGGGCATTGACTCTGATTCAGAAGGCCCACCATTACCAGCGCACGACACTCCCTATTCGGAAAAAGCGTCATGGTCTTGCACAACCCGACGCGCGCCCACATCAGCCGGTCCCCCCAGAACACCCACCGCCGCTTATCGCACCGATTACGACGACCTAAGAGACACTGTGCGTCTCCTTTGCACTCAGGTGAGCAACATGTGCTCTGCGCTTAACAGTCTTCAAGCGGCTAAGAGACAGCCATGCTCACATCGACGGTCTAAATCCCGTGAGCGGCGTTCACAACCCTTATGTTGGTATCACCGCACTTATGGCCCGAAAGCCCGAAAGTGCATGCCTCCTTGTTCGTTCGCTTGTCCTCCACAGTTAAACGACCACGCCAGCCAGTAATGGCGACGACTGCTGCTGGCCCGTCGCGACCCAGTCGCCTTTTCTATATCAATGACAAGTTGAGCGGCCTTCGTTTCCTGGTCGATACCGGCGCCGAGGTCAGTGTCCTCCCGCCTCTAAGGCGTCACCGCCTCAAGCCATCGCAATTCTCATTGCAGGCTGCAAATAGCACCACAATCAGCACCTACGGCCAACGGTCCCTCACTTTAGATCTTGGTCTCCGGCGACGTTTTCAATGGGTCTTTATTGAGGCTGACGTCAAATCGCCCATTATCGGGGCCGACTTTTTTGTCATCTTTCGGCTTAACAGTCGATGTCAGACACCGTCGCCTCTCAGACACCACCACCCAACTCTTTACTATAGGTACCAGTAGCTCTGAACGGTCGGTTGGCATCCATGTCACCATCCCCAGCACCCCTTTCGCTGACATTTTGAAGGACTACCCGTCCATCACTAAACCATGCCATTTTACCGAAACCGTTCAACACGGAGTGAAACACCACATTATCACGGCAGGGCAACCAGTGCACGCTCGTCCGCGTAGACTCCACCCTGACAAACTCCGAATAGCAAAGAACGAATTCGACCATATGATGAATCTGGGCATTATACGCCCTTCATCTAGCCCATGGGCCTCACCACTGCACATGGTGCCAAAGAAGTCCCCTGACGATTGGAGACCGTGCGGTGATTATCGAGCCCTAAACAGGTCCACAATCCCTGACCGGTACCCCATTCCCCACATTCATGACTTTTCCCACATGTTAGCCGGCAAAACTATTTTTTCCAAGATAGACCTCGTCAGGGCGTACCACCAAATCCCGGTTGCGGAGGAAGATATCCCAAAGACCGCTATCACGACACCCTTTGGGCTGTTCGAATTTATTCGCATGCCCTTTGGTTTGCGCAACGCTGCCCAGTCGTTTCAGCGTTTCATCGATGAGATCTTGCGGGGCCTTCCATTCGCTTACGCCTACATCGACGACATACTCGTCGCAAGCTCTTCGGCAGAGGAACATGCCTCGCATTTACGCCTCATATTCGATCGTTTCCAGCAACACGGTTTGCAATTAAACGTCGACAGATGCCTTTTTGGCGTTAATTCTCTCGATTTTCTTGGCCGCCACGTCGATCTGCACGGAATCACTCCACTTACAGAGAAGGTGCAATGCATCTTGTCTTTCCCTGTTCCCAACACACTCACTCAGCTGCGACGTTTCCTAGGCCTTAACAACTATTACAGACGTTTTATTCCCCACTGTGCGGCAATCCTGGCTCCCTTGACTGACCTTTTGAAGTCGAAGGCAAAACCAATTGAACTTTCACCGGCAGCCCACACAGCTTTTGAGGAAGCGAAAAAGGCTCTTGCCGATGCCACCATGCTGCACCACCTCAGCTCTGACGCTCATACACAGCTCATTTTGACCACCGACGCTTCCAGCAGTGCTGTCGGCGCAGTCTTGCATCAACAGGTGAATAACCAGTTGCAGCCTTTAGCTTTCTTTTCACAGAAGCTACAACCGGCGCAGACTCGCTACAGTACTTTCTCTCGCGAGCTCCTAGCCGTCTACTTGGCCATCCGTCACTTTAGAACCTTTTAGAGGGCAGAGACTTTTCGGTCCACACCAACCACAAGCCCCTCACTTATGCCCTGAAGGCCAAGCCAGATCTGTACTCGCCCAGGGAAGTTCGTCACCTGGACTATATTTCGCAGTTTACTGTCGACATCCGCTACGTCCGAGGCAGCGACAATGTCGTTGCTGATGCATTATCCCGTCCGGACATCAACACACTCACATCCGATTTCGACCTGGCGAGGCTTGCAGACCTCCAAACAGCAGACGAGTCCATCGCGGACTTACGTACGTCTACTACTCTGCAGCTTCGAGATGCACCACTTCCTGCGTCACCAGGTACGATTTTGAGCGATTGGTCCACAGGCACCCCTCGTCCTGTTGTTCCACTATCCTATCGTAAGGTCGTCTTTGACCACTTCCACTCCCTCTCCCACCCTGGCATTCGCGCTGGACGTAAGTTATTCTCGGCTCGTTTTGTTTGGCCGAAGATGAATTCCGACATTGCTCTTTGGACTAAACAGTGTCTCGCATGCCAGAAGAACAAGGTTCATCGACACACTTTCTCCCCTCCAAGTACTTTTGCGGTCCCGGATGTTCGATTTAATCATGTTCACTTGGATTTAATCGGACCGTTACCCCCTTCACGTGGGTACACACATATCCTGACGGCCGTTGACCGTTTCACACGATGGCCGATTGCCGTTCCTATCTCGGATACCTCGGCAGAAAATATCGCCATGGTTTTTCTGACCCACTGGATCTCAACTTTTGGTGTTCCAGCCACCCTTACCACCGACCGCGGAAGTCAATTCCAATCTAGTCTCTTCCGTGAGTTCACTAGACTGCTCGGGTGCGCGCACATCACAACCACGGCATATCATCCTGCCTCCAACGGTCTCGTTGAGCGTCTACACCGCCAACTGAAGTCCGCACTGATGTCCCAAACAGAGTCAGCTACTTGGAGTGTCAATCTCCCTCTTGTGCTTTTGGGCATCCGATCTTCTGTCAAGGAGGACATCCAATGCACCGCCGCCGAACTTGTGTACGGTACACCCCTCCGTCTGCCTGGCGAATTGGTGCAGCCTTCCACAACAAACACTAACATCACGAGCACCTTCGTGCAGCAGTTGAAACAACGCATGGCTTAACTGCGTCCAACCCCCACTCGTCTGACCTCGAAACACGTGTTTGTACACGAGGACCTTAAATCCGCCCCTTTTGTTTTCGTCCGGCATGACGCAGTGCGCAAGCCCCTTTGTTCTCCCTACGATGGCCCATATAAGGTCGTTCAGCGGAATGACGAGTTTTACGTCCTTCAAAAGGCTGATAAGACCGGCACGGTCTCCATTGACCGCCTTAAGCCAGCCT